AGATCCTGCACCGGCTCCACTCTATCCCCTTGTCTCGATGGGCGGCCTGGGTATGGGGCGCCCTGGGTGAGCGTCTTCTTCTGGACCCCCGTGGCTTGGGGCTTGCCGGCGAGCACTAGGCTGCGCTTCGGGGGCTTATGCCTGTCTACCGCGCTCTCTCTCGCGTCTCCCTGGGGGACGACAGGATGACGGCCTTCTGGGGGATCATTGGCTACCCTACGGGCCCATCCGGTGTGCCTTCCTGCCGCTGGCCTCACACGCAACGTGCGCGGAGGTCTCGGTCTAGGCTGTCTGCACCCTGGGGCTTGACGCGGTGCTCGTGACACGGTTGTCCACTGCTGCCGCCCGGGAACGCCTCCTCCTGCTCCCACTCATCGGGCGGGCAGGGGAGGGCGAGGGCTACGCTGACCACCGCAGCCTGGTCCTATGCAATCAGAAAGGCGGGCGGCTGGCGTCGAGCGCAGCCTACGGGCTCTTCCGCCTAGGAGGTGAGGTGGTGGAGAACGCCGCCTTTCTCTGGAGATCACCGGCGCCGTCCAGGGTTCGGTTCTTCGCCTGGCTGCTGACGCTCGGCCGTATCCACACTCGGGACAATCTGCTGAAAAAACGCATCGTCGAGCTGCGAGGCGCCGGGTGCCCGGAGTGCGGGGCGAGCCTGGAGACGCCTGATCATTTGATCTTCGGCTGCCCCTTCGTGCGTGCGTTCTGGTGCTCTCTGCGCCTTTCCACCTCGGGGCCTGCTATGCGTGCCCTGCACCTCTTCGACGCCTCTGTGGCTGTCAGCTCAGCCTCACCGCATGCGTTCGTGCAGCTGTGCTGCTGGCACCTCTGGAAGCGGCGAAACACGGTTGTGTTCAGGCGGGAATCGCCGTCCCTGGCCGCCACTTTGAAAGCCTGCCGTGACGACGCTATCCTGTGGCGTGGCCGGTTTCGTTCTGCTGACCGTGGACATATTGATGCATGGCTACGGCCCTGCGTGTGTAGAACAAAACTGCATGTAACATAGCAAGGGGGTTCCCCCCCTGCCTCTCTCTCTGCTGTCGCCCCGGCATTTGTACTATTGTACTGTATGTTGGGTTCGAGAAATATATTTAGGTGGGGGAGTTCTCTCCCCCCGGTGAAAATTCAAAAAAAATAAAAAGCCTATGGACTGAGCAGTATGTATAGGTAGCCACTCTGAAAACGTCTGATATCCGTCCCAATCCTGCATGGTCACCACCCCCGGCGCCCACCAATAAACAAAACCCAGCGCCGCATTTGTTATCTGAAATGCAATTTTCTTTCTATTCTTTGACTGGTGTGGTCTGAACTAGGAGAGTCCTCGTCTTCGCCTGGTGGTTTCATTTGAACGGCCGCGTTCCTCAGTTTTCCTGCCCATTGATTTCTTCTTTACTCGTCGTTTTGACTCAATGAACGTACATGTTGCTAGTTCACTTCACTGGGAGAGCGAGGATATATAAGCGGCTTGGTTGGAGACCGTGATCACACACACATTAACCTCCTCTCTTGGCAGGCCACTGATCAACTATCAAGCTGCCCTTTGACTGCCTAGCTAGGTAGCGGGAGTGAGAATCAATGGCATCCCGGCTGGAGCTGCTCATGTCGCAGGGAATGCGACTGTGGAGCTATCTTACCTCCTCATCGGCCGCTGCAGCAGGAACCGGAGTTGCTGTTGCATCCTCCGTTACTCTTGCCAGTTCCAGAAGCCAGCCTCCGCATCGGAACCGTGACCCGCCTAGAAACAGGGCAAACGCGGCAGGGAGGGCTCGCGAGGCAGAGAAACAGTGAGCCTTACAGTTTGGAGAGAATTCTCTGACGCAGGATACATACATGTCGTAGTGATGATTTTATATGCTGCTCCGATCAAATTGATGAACAAGTGTGCAGTTCAGAATTTTGTTTTGAGTGGGAGGTGTAAGCTGGCTATTGAACTTTGCCGTTTTGCATCCTGTGTTGGTTGTGTGTTAAAGGCTCGTATCAAACCTGTATGTAACATGTTCTTCTTTATCTCAAAAAGAAAACTCATGTATGTTCTCCGTAAATCAGCCTCTCGGTTGGAGGAACGACCATGTGTGCCGCGGATGGATGTGTGGTTGTTCATTTTCATCCACCTGAGTTTGATTCTACTGAAAGCGAACGTGCGCCTTGCCGCTCTGTTTTTGATCCATTAAAGGCAAATGAGGAAATTATATACATTTCAAAAGAGCCTCGCTTATATATAAAGTAATCATCATGTCCAAACATCAAGTTCAACTGGCAAAAAGAAAAAAGAAAAAGTCTGTCGGGCAACATCACAAACATGCTCAAAAGATGACGTCCTACCACACACAAAGAATCGATCATGCTGCCTAGCCGATCCCTATCCCGCTGCCTAAAAAGCGGGTGTCAATGCTGAAAGAAGGACATAAATTTAAACACGGAGTCCGTGGCATATAAAATCATCACCAGGGGTCATGCCCTCACCGCGTACACTAACCAGAAGAGACGTCCCTCCTACCGATACGTGTGGCCTGGACTTTCAGGAATTATCCACAGTCTGGAGCATACCACTTGGACCTCAAAGCCTCATGAACAAAGCTTCATAGGAGGCGGGTAACATGACATAAGAAGAAAATGTGGGTCCTGGACTCTAGGACCAGAGGCTAGACGGAAGAGTCGGGACGACAAAAGAACCCGCTTCATCCCTACCGCTCCCACGAGCGGCTGGGCGAAGCCTAGGCGCCGCCGGCCCTAGTCCACCTCCCGCCTCCCCTTCCCCTCGCCGCCGGAGGCCGCGGCCGGGAAAAGCTTGGTCCGCGTTGGCGGCGGCGGGGCTCTCCCTCCTCATATGGGGTGCGTGGTGCGGGACGCGTGGTTAGCGGGGGCGCCGCGCTTGACGTGGGTTGGCGACGGCGAGGCGCATGGGTTCACCAGCGGCGACGGCGTGCATCCTTGTTGCGGTGGATGTGCAGGTGCTCGAATGGAGCGGGGGGCAGGTGGTGCATGCCTACGCGAGGCGGCGGTGGCGGGCCTCTCGATCTAGATCTGGATCAGGGGCGCCTCCGTCCGGCTGCACGTGGGCGGCGTGGACCGTGGCGGCGAGGATGCTGGTTGGCGTGGGAGCAGGCATGCTTTGCGGGGTCGTTCCTCTGGAGTTGGTGCGGGAGCGGCGCAATCGCCCCGGCGGACCCGAGCTTCCGTTGGGGAATGCCATGGTGACGAGCATGGGCTGGCCTTAGCCTGACTAGCTCCGGCAGCGCGGCTTGCGGTTGCATCGGTGGACTAGGGCTCGGGGTCAGTGGTCGGTGGTTTCGCCGTGGGTTCTTCCTGCGAGCGTGGAGACGGGGCGGTGGTCAGCCAGTGGTGGCCATGGCGCGGAGCCGAGGTGGAGTGGGTTTGCCGGAATGGCTGCTAGGTGGCCGGAGTTGCCGGCCGCCATCTGCAGCCCCCATGGTTTGGGCCGGCGAACGCCTTCACTGGGTGTGTGTTCTAGCAGTAGGCCGGTGACGTGGACGAACGTCCGTGCAGGAGTTTGACCTAGTCCTCCTGCCCAGAGTTCATTGCTCCCTACACGTGGTTGGGACACCTCTGGCTAAGCCAAGGTGGGTCCTTCCGGTCCGGTTGGAGAGGCGTCCTCACGTTATAGCGTCAGTAGAGGTCCATGGTAGTGGTGGTTGGGGCATCCGTGTGCCAGCGGTTGGATCGGTGCCTCAAACCACAGACTTTGCGTCGTATAAGCTGGTTACTCAACAATGGCCATTGGGAGCCACTGAGTCATGTCCCTCGGTCCATCGGGATTGGTGGGATTGCAAGTGTGGGCGCCCCGAAGATGGTGGCGCTGACCCTTGGTGGCTGATGTCCGTCTTCTCTTGCCGCGGTTTGTGCACTGGGAAGCGGATCATGGGTAGTGTCTCTCAGCTTGCAAGTCGGGGCGGCGACCCTGGAAGGTGGTCCGCTTGGTTGGCCCTCTGGCGGGGATCATGGCGGTGGTGGTGGCTATGCCTCTTGGTCGCGTGGACGACAAGAGGTGTAGCAGGGAAAGGCTCGGGTGGGCCATTTGTCTTCGGTAGTGGCGGCACCCGGATTTGGAGCAGGGGATCTGAACTCGCCATGCCTTTCTTGAAGACCTCATGATGGCATGGGGGAGCTACCGAGCGAAAGCTCTGCGCTTTGTCGCTGACGACTGCGACGCTCGTGGGCGCCGTTTTCTTTTTGAAGACGCCGTCACGGTGCTCCTCTCCGTGCCTGAGTTTCTGATGAAAACCCTTGTCCGTTGGACTTGACAGCGGCGATACCTGGCGTCGTTCCCCCTCCCGAGGGCGTTGTCATGGAGCTTAGGTGTTCCAGGGTGTTGTATGGTGGTGTTCTCAGGTCTTCCTGTGTTATTTTTCGGTCTTGTAGTCTCTAGCGGTCTGCGTTTTACGATTATCCTGGGATCGGCTGTGTAAGAGGGTTACCTCACCATCTTGTATCGTTTGGTCGTGTACTTTGTGGGGTTGGTTATTTATATATAAAGCGGGGCGAAAGCCTGTTTCAAGGAGAGGACTCTCGGACACCACACTGAGGGCATAGCCCATCGTCAGGATCATGTCGCTTCGTCACCTATGTCCACGAGGGGGAGGCGATCACACATAAGCTACAAAGCAAAGATCTTGACCTTTGAGGGAGCAACACTTTTCATAAAGGAGTAGTCCACACCAGATTCGGAGCCCGGACTAGTGCACAATATGATGAGCCAACCGAGCAGAGTCATTATGGGGTCTTGGACCAAGAAGCCATGTCAGGTGAGTGATGCCCTACAGGTGAACTTGATACAGTTGTAGCCATGTCAAAGTAAGAATATCGATCCCACGAGTCTAGAGCTCCCCGCCACCAATTTGCCTTGTCTTCAATGGCCTTAGGGCTTTAGAGGTGTGGTGGATCTCGGCCATTATCGACGGACGGGCTCCTGCTTCGTTTTAGATGTTTTTTTAGTCTATTTAGAATTTTCTCATGCTTTGGATGGTGAGACGGTGGCGATTTCATGAAGATGGAATAAAGTTCTCCCTGAGCGCGCGCGACAACAACCTGCTTGTCCAGAAGACCTGCAGGCTAGCCGACCACCCCGCCATGGCCCACGCCCTCGAGCAAGCGTCCGCGCGGCGGCTCTCCTTACCGAGCAGGCGTTCGCGTTCCTTTTGGCCACGGCGAGGTCGAGCGTGGATGGCACGGTGAGGGCGACTCTGAGGACTTTCGACGGTGCCGGCGGCCCGTGCCTCTCGCTGCTCGGCCTCGATCGGCGACTTCGACGCGGCCGTGTGGGTGACTGAGGAGGACCAGCTATTAAAACGCCACATCGGCGGCAAAGTGCAAGGCCGGCGACTTCCAGGGTGCCCGCCAGGTGTTTGACGAAATGAAGAAGGGGGAGCTGCGACCCCTATGGCAACTCCTGGAACTACCTCCTCGGGGGGCTGCTCAGGAATGGCGGAGCCACCGAAGCGTGCGACCTCGTTGAGGCCATGGAGTGGTCTGAAGTCTGAACCTGACGACGTCCAGAAATCACTGACGTACAATATCCTCACACACCTCGCCTGAAAAGCAATGAAGATGGATTTGGCAACAGATTCTCGATCAGATGTTCCTGGAAAAGCTGACGCCGAGGACTACAATCCACACATCAGGGGGTATGTCTATACCGGGAGAATCAAAAGTTTCCAAGGATTTGCACAAGATGGGAAGGGGAGATCTGTCTGCTGAAGTCAAGTGCTTTTTTCAGAAAATCATTGTGCAGTCAGGTTTGGAACACTGATTTATTTTTTAACTTATTATATGGAGTCACCTGAGTGAAAATTGCTTGTCCTTATACGATATTCATGTGCCATTTATGCTCTTCACTCCTCTCCACCCCATGTATAAGTAGATATCTTTGCTCTAAATCAGTAGGAAACATTCCCTACTTTGTATAGATTAAAAGATACATTAGCAGAACAACTAGGACACATTCCCTAATTCAACATGGATTTATTAGCTAGCTCTGAAATGACTCAAACTGGATTCAAAAAGGAAAATAAAATAAGACAGTACATTACTATTCTTCTTTACATGAACTTCTTTTGCTTGCTACTATCCTGCTAATTCTTTGCTTCATCAGACACGCATGTGTCTGAGGCCACATGCTTTATTCTAAGTATCTCAGTAGAAACTTGTCCCATACCCGGCCGCTCTTTGGGTGACGTCATGGAGCAAGAGAGGCCTATTGTTAAAAGTGGGATGACGCAATTCTTCATCATGTCAGTTGCATTGCTGCTATCTTGTAGCATTGTGGGGTCAACAACCTCACGAATATTCTTTGTAAATGCTCTATCAACAAATTCATGAAGGCTTATACCATCGTTGAATTTTTCATCAGTTGGACTACACCCTGCTATCAGTTGTAACAGAAGCACTCCGAAGCTATAGACATCACCCTTGGTTGATATCTCTTCGCTCATTCCATACTCTGCATTTACATGTAAAACACATAATAAAATTAGAGAATCACCACTATTTGTACAACTCCATAAGGAACAAACAGAACCACTATCTTGCAAATAAGCTTATCTCACCTGGTGGGATGTATCCTATGGATCCTTTTAAGCGGCTCAAACTTGCTGAACTATCTTGATGTGCATTTGCTGTGCCGAACAAGAATCTTGCTAGGCCAAAGTCGATGACGTACGCAACCATGTCAAGACCCAGAAGTATATTGCTTGGCTTCAAGTCGCAGTGTATAACTGGAGGTGCACACTGATTGTGAAGGTAATCCAAAGCAACTGCCACATCCAAGGCTATGTTAGTCCTTTGGCTTAAACTCAGAATTTTCTTTTCACCATCTTCAGGATCTTTTAGATGTAGCCACATTTCTAGGTTCCCATTTGGCATGTATGGGAACACTAGGGCCTTGAAATCTGCCCCAGTATGATCCACAGAAGAGCATGAGGTAATGATTTTTACAAGATTCCGATGGCGAACATTTCTTAGGGCTTCACACTCTGCTATGAAGCTCCTATCTGCCCCAGTAATGTCAAGGTCAAAAATCTTGATGGCAACTTGATCTGCTTGAAACTGCAGACTTCCCTTATAAACCCTTCCAAATGATCCAGAACCAATTAAGTTTTCAGAAGAAAACCTATCAGTTGCCCTTACCAAGTCTTCATATGATATCTTCTCAAATGATATCTTCTCTAGCTTCTTTACGTGCGCATTGTCATGTTGCAAATGGGGATTTGCTTGCATCCGTTTCCTCCTATAAATTGTTGCCATACAAGAGAAAAGGATTGCAGTGGCAACAACAATTGGCAATAGAATCACTAGGACTAGAACCAGTGGCTTCTGCTTTCTTTTGCTGTCAGACAGAGCCATACAAAGAGACATACCTCTCATCGGGACAATTGTACACAGATGATCATTTCCTTGGAGTGAAACTGCACCAATGTTGTCAAAAACACCACCTGTCGGAACTGCTCCATCAAAGTGGTTAAAGGATAAATTCAGGCCTTGCAGTGATTTCAAGGATTTGAGGAACTCTGGTACTTTTCCAGACAAATTGTTCCCAGAAATATCCATGTGTTTTATGCTGACTAAGTTGGAAAATGTTTGTGGAATTTTTCCTGCAAAGAAGTTGTTTTGCATCTCAAGATACTCCAGATCAACACACTGGCCGAGAGTTGATGGTATGTTGCCAGTCAACCTGTTATTTGACATGTTGATTTTCTTCAGATGAAGGAGACTTCCAACTTCATCTGGCATTCTTCCAGACAAGTAGTTGTTTGACAAGTCCAGCTCTTTAGAAAGCGTAGAGATTGTCAAGATTTTACTTGGTATACGCCCATCTAGTGAGTTGTGAGCAAGGTTGAGTATGGTGAGTTGAGTGCATTGTCCTATACTTGCAGGTATTCTTCCACTGAAGCTGTTATGATCCAATTCCAGCGTGCTCAGCTGGACAAGATTGCCAACAGTATCTGGAATCTGACCCGAAAGCCTGTTTTGCGCAAAGGATAGATCAACCAATTTGTACAATTTCCCAATTGTTGATGGTATATTATCGGTGAGAAGATTGTCACCCATATACAAGCCAATGAGGCTCTTGAGGTTGCCAATCTCCGATGGTACAGGTCCAGAAATTTTGTTGCTACTTAGCCACAAGTAGTCAAGACTATTTGAAAGATTCCCAATAGAACTTGGCAATTTCCCATTGAGATTGTTCCCATCCAGGGCCAACATGTTCAGTCTGGAGCACTTAGATAGTGAAGAGACAAAGCCCCAATCATCTGCTTCTAGTTTGTTGATTGCCAAATCGAGTAGCACTAAATTTGGCAATGAGCCGAAGAATGGTATGAGTCCAGTAAATCTATTAGTGTTCAGGTCAAGCCTTTGTAGGTGGTATGCTTTGAGAAGAGAGGATGGGATTGGTCCATCAAAACTGTTATATGAGAGTATTAGGTCCTGTATATTGGGGAGGGTGTAGCCAATGTCTAAGGGTAATCTGCCGACAAGTGAGTTTTCTGCTATGGTGAGACTTTTCAGGGATGACATATTGAAGATGGACGGTGGAACCTGCCCAGATAAGTTGTTCGTAGTCAAGGTCAATATCTCTAGTGTTGGAATATAACCTAACCTCTCTGGGATGCTCCCAACTAAATGATTGTTTGTAAGATAAAGATGAACTAGGGAAGAAAGGTTCCCTAGTGAGGAAGGTATTCCTCCTGAAAGATTGTTAAACCTTAAAGAGAGTTTCTTAATAGGGGACGATGCGACAGTAACAGAAGGTATCGAACCAACAAAATTGTTCTTTTCAAGGAAAATGGCACCAAGTGACAAAGTGTTGAGCAGAGCCTTTGGGAGTTCCCCAGTAAGACCATTGCTCATGAGCCTAAGTACTTGAAGAGATGAACTATTTGCCAAGGACTGTGGGATGACCCCTCCGAGGGCATTCGTCCCAAGATCGGCATATGTGAGATGGCGACTGCTGCCCAAAGACGGAGGTATGGTGCCGGTAAGCATGTTTTTGGCAAGAACTAGCATGCGCAGCGCAGGAAGGTCTCCGAAAGCAGGAGGGATGCTCCCCTGGAGCTTGTTGTTGCCAAGGTTAATCTCTTGAAGGCGCTTGCACTGGCTAAGGCTATGTGGGATCTCTCCACGGAGGGAGTTGTTCCACAAACCCAGAATTTGGAGCTGGGAACATGCAGAGATTTCAGGTGGGATGTTACCTTCCAAAGTGTTCATGCTGAGGTTGAGGTTGGTGAGTCGGCTAAGGAGGCCAAGCTCGGACGGCACAGCGCCATGGAAGCTATTGTTCGACAGCTGGAGCCTTGTCAGCCAAGTGAGCTTGGCAATGCAAGGTGCTATGGTGCCTGAGATGCCTTGGGATTCAAGGTTAAGCGCAATGACATGCCGGGGGGACGTCACGCCGCAGGTGATTCCGTGCCAGTCGCAGAACTCCGTGGACGTGTTGGTCCATGAAGCTAGAAATCCAGCCGGACCCGAGAGCTGGGATTTGAAGCAAAGGAGGGCTTGTCTATCGCTCGGTGGTTCATCGCAGATTCCTAATGATGGTAGGCTGCAAGAGAAACCCAGGAAGAGGCAGAGAAACCGAAAAAGGCCTGGAAACAACAAAGTTGTCATTACTCAGCTATCGAGATTGATGGAAGCTCTCGCTTTGCAAGAGGATTTCTAGGTGTGGTGTGTAGTGGTAGCTCACCCACTTTAAATAGAAGGTTGGCATCTTTGTTTGGAAAGTGGCGAGGAAGGAATATGTGGAGGCTATCTGTGGAGTGGAAGCTGAGGACTTCTAAGTGTGGTTTGCACGCAGTCTACGGGCGGCAATGCGATCGTGCTGGCGGAGGCGCAGGTACACAATACCAGAGCAGATGACACTGATGACGTTGGCAGGGACACAACCAAGTGACGCATGACAAGCCAGTATATATACAATAAAAAAATTGCAGCTATGTGGACTCCTAAACAACACCCAGCTTAGATGCCGACGTTGGTAAGGGTAAGCATATAATTGACTGACTGACTACTCGCACTGCAGGCCCAGCTCAGCGAGATCAAGACAAATGCACTAGTTGATTAATGAGGTGAGAAGCTTCCTCGCTGGAGGGAGCAAGGTTTCAAAGGTACCAGGAGTCAAAATGAGTTTGGTTGTGAGCTTAGCTTCCTTTGGGAGGATCCTGGATAGAACAAATGCTTTGGTTGGTTGTCCTGTTCAGCCAAACTAGATGATATCTGCAAGTTGGAATGTACTAGCCCTGGCAATTAATAATATTAATAATAAAATGCTAACACACATGCTTCCAGCACAATGGTAGGTGTGTTTGGATTACATATCTGCCTGCTGGCGACCCTTGGATCAACTGGAAGCGGTTGTTGGCGCTCCACTTGTACCTACAATATGGAGTTCTTAGCAAGTTGTCCGTTGTCAGGTTGCTATTGGATTACACTGGATGATTGTCAGTACTAGTCATCGTCAAGAACCCCAGACCCGTCATATAAAATCAAGCAGTCAAGGGTCATTCCATGGATGAGCATCCATCGATTGGAAAGAAATAAGTTCACATACACACTGCCAAAACGAGACGAAAGTTGTCTTGCATAGTCAACTACAAAAATGCGGGATCCTGACGATTGCTAAATGCTTGTTTCGTCGTTCTATACTGGCGTACTTGCTCTTCTTGACTTGAGATTTCAGAGTTCAGACTGAGAAAGTATATATGTGCTATTATAACAACTGCTTTACAAAGCTCTTCAAGCACCGAAAGTGGCATAGTTTTGTTGGGGATACCGGCGTACAAGGAAGAAACATAGTTTTTCTCGGTGTTTCCAACATAGAACAGCCTGGAGATATAAGCAAAAGAGGACATATATGCAGTGTAAAATCGCTAAAAAGTTGAGAGTTGGTGGGTGAAACTAGCACGAACAAATATGAAATTGAGAAAGACCTGCATGAAGAAAATAAATAGGACAGTATCAAATTTGATATTCTAGGATGGTGGGAGGTTAATGCTTCTAGATTTGCAATATTGGCAAGATTGGCTCGTGATGTGTTGGCAAACCCCGTATCAATGGTTGCATCAGAGTTGGCATTTAGCATGTATGGGCCAAGATCGGCCAAGACATTTTACTCATATCAATATTGAAGAGGATATGGAGATATTAGCAATCTTGCAAAAAGGAACATGTTGTTTTTGTAATTTCCTTTTACTGTATTTGCATTTGTTACTCTGTGTGCTTATTACATATTTATTTCAGTTTATTTCAGAACTAATTGAAGAATTTGATGGTGGAAATTCATCCAATTCAAAGGTATCACAAACTAGCAGCGAGCCATCTCCATCTTCTGCTAAAGTTTTGGGTTAGTTACATCCTCCCTAGTCAATATTTTTATGTGGTACTAAGTGGTGAGAAAAGTTGAGTGTTGTTGATGCCTGTTGGTGATGTACTGATTGTTATCAATTTGTCATGTACCCATGATGTGGACACTTTTGTGTTTCTCTTACTTAGTGCTACGTGGAGCTATAAAGGGTTGTTGTTTTGCCATTTGTCGCTTGGTGTTGCTTACTTGCTTGGCTCGCTTGCTTGCTGCTGCTTGCTGTGTGTTTGGGGCTTGCTGCTGTATTGAACACTTGAACTTGCTTATTTGGTATTTTGGTCCCTCGAGAGCTTAAGAGATGAGGTGCATGTCAGCATGTGTGTGCGATGCTATGATTTTGTGAGGAAGCACAGTAGGTTTTCCGACTGCATGTATTTATATTTTCTAAAGTATGTACAAGAAGGTTTCCCTACTGCATGCATTTAGACTTCTCAGAGCAGAAAAGGTAGAAAGACTGGTACAAGGCCGAAGGCTCCCTACTGTATAATCGTATAAAGGCTTGAAACCATGATTGAAGGCCTAAATGAGACTTTGTCTTTGCTCTGTGAACCAACAGAGACATCTCCTGCTTGAAGTTGGCCCTGCATGCATTCCTGATTATCCAAATTGAAAACCGTGTATTTGTTCAGGCAGCAAGTCCTTCCAAAGCCACCTAATTGGCACGTCTCCCAAAGCCACCTAATTGCTGCAATGACAAGTGATCGGCCCAAAAGTAATTTGTATGCAGTGGAAACCTGAAACTTTTTATCCTTTTATTCTTTGACATGTGTAAAGCTGCTGCCTTTTGACCATGAGGTCACGGGTTCGACTCTGGGAAATAGCCCCTTGCAAAAACGTAGGGAAACTGCGTACAAAAGATTCAAAGTGGTCGGACCCTTCTCTGTACCCTGGGCAAGCGGGTGCCCTTTTATTCTTCGCTATGTCTGGTATGGACTCTGAAGTACAGTCTTCGTCTTCGCGTCGTGGTAGGAATGGACGCGTTCCCCTCATTTTTCTACCTTCAAACTGATTACTTATTCGCCATTTTGACTCGTTGAACGCACTTAGTAGTAGTTCGCTGGGGGAAGGTAGCTAGGTAGCTAAGCTGGGTGCCTCGGTGAGATTAACTTGCATGTATAAGTACTACTCACTCAAGGGGCTGGCGGTCATCAGTGAGACAGTCATCTACAGTATCAGCTAACAAAGGTGCCCTTTGCATAGCTAGCTAGTGAGAATCAATGGCGGCATATTTGCGCTCCCAGCTGGTGCTACTCAGGTCGCCAGGGCAGCGACATCTGTTGAGCTATCGCTCATCGTCATCCTCCGCTGCACCAAGCACTATTACGCCTCCACCTGCTCCTGCAGGTATGCACATCTTCTTCTTGCTATATATGGATCATATCCCTGCACTGACATGCTTCATCCGTGACCTAGGAGGACGTACCAGTTCCAAAGGCTCGCCTAAATACTGGATTTATGGACCTCCCGGCTTAGCATCGTCTATGCTATCCTTGATGGTGCTCCTCACCCCCTCATCCTCCGATGTGCCAGCAGCTGATGGTGCTGTTATCACTGGGCACGTGCCTTATGAACCCCCTTTGCAAAATGCAACATAGCTGTGAGGTCATGATACAGTGACCTATAATGGAAGTCACGTATTACTATTGTCATATTGATTTTTCTTTTGACACGGCATGTCATATAGGTAATTCTACGTGTGTCTACGCGTCTTTTTTTTTGGCTATATGCATCCTTGTTATGTAGAGGCCGTACGATGTATGTTCGTTATAATTGTATCGCTTGATGCGACATTTTAAGTTAATGAAAATGGCATTTATCATAAAAGTATACTGCTCCAATCAACTTGATCAAGAACTGTGCATGTTCAAATTTTTATTTTGAACGGGAGAGGCCACGTGTTGAACTTTGGTGATTTGCAGTTATAGGTCATATCAAACCTGTACCCAATGCTTATTGGAGGCGATTTTAATATTCTTAGGTACTAGGAAGAAAAAAAATTATTACCGTTTCGACACACATTAGCCTTTCCTATTCAATGTTGTGATTGACAGTTTGCATCTTCGGAAGGCTTGTATGTTCGGGCGCCAGTTCACTTGGGCTAATTATAACCGTTCTTTGCCGATGTACGAGAAGCTCGATAGGGTACTTATGGATACCGAATGGGAGCCTAAATTTACTATGTTAACCGTGCGAGCCCTAGAACGAATCGAGGTATTATTGGATCATGCGCCAATCACTCTTGATTCTTATTCTTTGAGCCATTATACCCTTCGCCTGTTGAAATTTGAATTGGCATGGCTGCATTGGGAAGGTTCTGTAGACCTAATCAAGAACGTTTGGTAGAGGCCCACCATCGGTCGCATATCGATTCAGAGATGAAATTATAAATTAAAGGCCATAAGACAACACCTCTCTGGATGGGTGAAACCACCGTGTTATAAATAAATAAATAAAGCAGTGCCTCTATACCATCATTGATGACCTTGACAAAATTGGAGAGACTCACACTTATCTCTACAAGAGATTGAATTGAAAAATCAATCTAATGAGAAGGTTGCAAGTCTTTTCCGAGTGAAGGTGATCAAGTACTACCAAAGGTCCAAAGTTGACTTCATCCTAATGGGAGATAGTAATATAAGATACTTCTAATTGGTCGCCAATGATCGACATAGGGAGAATATAGTCTCCAACAGGATGAGGGGCAGATCAGAGGTCAGGAGGAGCTCAAAACGGTGTAGTAATCCTGCATGAGACCGTCCACGAGATGCATCGACAAAACATGAGTAGAGTGGTATTTAAAATTGACTTTTGAAAAAGCCTATGACAAGGTCAAGTGGTCTTTTCTCTAACAGGCCCTAAGGATGAAAGGCTTCTCTCATAAATGGCGCCAACGGATCCAAGATTTTGGAACTGGTGGTAGTGTGGCCATCAAAGTCAATGATGATGTAGACCATTACTTCCAGACAAAAAAAGGACTACGGCAAGGTGACTCCATGTTCGGCCTTAATGTTATTTAACATTGTTGCTGACATGCTGGCTATTCTGATTGAACACACCCACTGGGACAACTAGATTGCAGGATTAGTGCCACACCTTGTGGATGGTGGTCTCTCTATTTTGCAATATGCTGATGACACAATTCTTTTTATGGAACATGACCTAGAAAAGGCTCGAAACCTAAAACTCTTGCTTTTGGCGTTTGAGAAAATGTCGGATGTCAAAATTTTCCATAAAAGCGAATTGTTCTACTTCGGAGAAGCCGTTGAGGCAGCAGCAGAATATGCTGACCTGTTTGGTTGCGCACATGGCCAATTACCGATTAAATACCTAGAAATACCAGTTCATTATCGGTGTCCCAGCATTGCAAAGTGGAAGCATGCAGAGGAGTGTCTAGAGAAATGGTTGAGCAGTTGAAAGGAAAACTGCTCTCAATTGGATGAAGGTTGGTTTTAATTAACTCCGTCCTCATAAATATGGTTCTCTATCTGCATTCTTTCTTCCAACATTCAAAAGGGGTCCTGCAAAGACAAGGCATTTAGATCCAGATTCTTTTGGCAAGGAGACGGTGAAAAGACAATGAAGCGTAATTTGTAGGCAGAAAGACCAAGGTGGCCTTGGAACTGATGACCTGCAGGTAAGAATGAGGCCCTGCTCAATAAATGGTTGTTCAAAACTTCTTACTGAAGATGATGTTTGACGGACAATAATGCGCAACAAGTATCTAGTCCAAAAGGCGGTGTCTCTAGCATATTAAAAAATCTAGCGACTCGCACTTTTGGGTCGGCCTAACGGTGGCAAAGAAATATTTCTTTCGCTTTGGGTCTTTCGTGATCAATGACGGGTTGGAGATTTGTTTCTGGGAAGACATTTGGCTAGGAAATGCCAGTCTCACATAACAATATCCAACCTTATATAACATTGCCCGTGATAAGAATAATACCATTGCGCACGGCTTAGCTCATCCCCGCCGAATATTTCGTTCATGCGGGATTTGATTGGCCCCTGACTTGTGTCATGGCATAATCTTTATCCCGGCTAGATTCGATTAACCTGACACAAAGTTGGGATGTGTTTCGCTAGAACCTTATTACCTTAGAGTTTTTCACAGTAGACTATGTATCGTGCGCTCACCCATTCTGAGATAGCAGTGAGTAATAACAAAAAAATAGAAATCCAAGATTCCACTAAAAGTTATAATTTTAATGTGGTATGTTGTAGGGGAGTTGTGTTAACCAAAGACAATATCGCGCAACGCAACTGGACAAGGAGTAAGAAGTGTTGTTTTTGTACTCATGATGAGACAATCAAACACATCTTTTCTCAATACAAGTTTACACGTTCTACGTGGTCAATCATCTAGATAGTGTAAAATTTGTATCGGCACACAAGTGTTATCAATACTTTTTTACATTGATCGGATGGTATTCCAAATAGGCTCAAACAATAATAGGATTGGAGTCTATGCCTTACTTTGGTTTGCATATGTAGAAATGATTTGGTTTTTAGCGAAAAAAATGTTTTTGCTCTGCAAGTTATTTTTCCGGTGTACGCACTCACTATGTACGTGGTCTATTCTACAAAGATGCATTGTTCAAGGCAGTGTGTACGTGATTGGAGTAGGTGGCTATGGAGGGTTGTTCCCAACATGAGTGGCAGCATAACCTACGGATCGATCGATCCGCCACCTCCTTGGACATAAGTGCAGTGTCAGACTCTATTATTGCCGATTTGTCGTTTTTATTTGGCTATGTACATTCTAATTATGCAGAGACCAGTGTTACTCACAATGCTTTGTATCTGTTTGATGCTACATTTTAAGAAAATAAAATCATCCTTTATTGAGAAAAGAAACTGTAGCTCGTGCATGTCATTTGTAGATCTGCCCAAGTGAAAAGAGGATCAATTATCTGTGTTGATTTTTTGAACCTGAGTCTATGCCCACCTGATTTAGCATCAAAAGAAAGTAAAATATGTCAAAATTTTCTGAAACCCTTTCGCAACTAATGCGATCTAGTGTTTCATGACAAAATGACTTATGTTGACTTCTTGAAAAAAAAAATTGCTGCCATGAAAAACTGTGAATAGTAATTTTAATGTAGTATCATTTTTGGCTCAAAATACCACAAAACTCATTTCCCCCTCAAACTTTACACATTAGTATAACACTAGACCATGTTTGTTGAAAAAAAGTTCCAGAGATATTTAACCTCAATTCACAAGAGAGCACGCACATCTGCGCATCAAAATATTATAGTGTGAATATCCATTACAAAGAACAAAAATAATCTCACTGCAACAGAATCGAACAATATTGATGGGAAAAATCTATCAACCATAACTGGATTTTCACCTGTGGGCGTTGATGATCTTTACTACACAAACCACCTATATGCCCGTCGATGTGGAATTTGGCAAGCTCTGTGTGGACCCATTGATTATATTTGCGAGATTGATGTGACACAAACATGATTTAACCAAGTTCGGGCTACCCAGATGAAGTAAGAGTATCTATACTCGGACCCCTACTTTTTTCCTAAATGTCCGAAACGGATGTCCTGTTAGTGCCTGGTCAAAAAAAAAAGTGATCCGACCGGTTCCTCACTTTATTCTTAAATGTTCGGACTGACCGAAGTATATCAAAACCATCTCAAAAGTCAAACCGGAGGACGGGAGGACAGTATGAGGGGCTCCGGTTATGCCCGGGCAGCCCACTGCATGCCCACACAGTCCAATTTGCAGCGACCTAGTCCTTCTTCCTCTCCCGTCTCTCTGTCGCCCATTCACTGCCCGGGTGCGTCCGTCGATGTTTGAGGGACCAAATTAGCTAGGTCCGGCTGTAGATGTTCTAACAACCCTATGTTGTGCCTTCTCTCTCCATCCTCTCTCGGAGGAGCAAGGGTGATCCAATCATAGGATCTCAAAGCCTACAACCTCCCACCATCCTCCATTCAGGGGCTTAGTGAACAATGCGAGCGATGACGTTGTGAACTGGCAAATATCTGGTTATTCCAAACGCAACAGTTCTGGTCGGTTCAGATCTCCCATGAGATGAGGAATAGGGGACCCGTCTTCGACGCCATGAGATCCCACAATGCACACACAGATATCGGTGCAAATCGATTCAGTGGAAAGGCATGGCATCGTGGCTAGTTGACGATCGCCTCCTAGATGATATGGGCGATAGGAGATTGGATGAAGAGACGTGTAGAGGTTTCAAGCCCCTTATGTTTCGGAGAGGGCTAAAATAGCAATTCAGCATCCACACCACGTGAGTCGATCCACATATTGTAAGTGGAGCGCGTCATGTAGATGCCAAAGGCACCGGGTATCCAAAGGATCTTGCCGCTATAAAAGGAGGCCTACAAGGTCAACACGGATTTCCCACATGTATGTGCAGGTCCAAGGACTATACCATGGTCCCAAACACTTCATGTCATATCTTCTCATACAATTTTATATTTTGAACCATGTGTTGTGTAGAAATTAAGC